AGTATTTTTGCTGCTACCCCGCATTGTGCTCATCTGCTGCCTCTGATCCCACGTTCATACGTCTATGGTGGTAGCCGTAGGCGCTTTCCGCCGCATCTGTTCGAATGGTCTTTCCTGAAGAGCTTGATTCTATTGCCATCGCCATTGGCCTGCTTACCGCATCATATCATCGAGTGCGCCCATGTGAATCTCATGTGTCTGATGTGTTCCGCCGCTCGTTGCATGCCCGTGCCCGTCAGATATTGAGGAGACGCCGCCAGCTTGTCCTTCTGTTCTCCACTTTGTCTCTGCAGGTCTGCCACTCTCGCTGCTTAGCTGATCATGCGTTGATTTCAAGATCGTGGATCTGCCCTCTGCTCGCATCTTGTCCGCTTGCCCTCTTCTCGTTTGCCCCCTTCTCGCCTCTTGTCCGCCTGCCCTCGTCTCGTCCCTTACCGCCAATGGGAGTCCGGGTCATTATCATCATCGTTATTTTCACCACCATGATCACCATCACCACCATCATCGCCACCATCACCGTCATCATCATCATCATCATCGTCATCATCATCATCATGATCATCATCATCACCATAACACACCAGCATCACCATGCTCTTCCCGATCCTCGTTCGCCGTCAGCCCATCATCGTTCCCTCGTTCCCCGTCGCCATCATCATATTTGTATTTGTGTTTACATGTATATACATCAACAGCCCCAATCACTTGCTGGTGGGAGTGGGTTGGGGCAGAAACCAGGAACGCGATAAAACGGAAAAGGGGCGCGATGATGAGGAGCAGGACGACGATAATCAGGACATCTGATCGGAACGGAGTTTGGCATCGAGTCTACATCCCGATCCCCCGGAAGACCCGGTTCTGGCAAAGGAAGGCATTCATGACCTTCGCAGTCGGAAAGTAAAGGAAAACCGAACGTTGAACACCAAAAGTAGTGTCAAGTGCTTCAAGACAACAAAAACACAACAACTTGTCAACAAACATGACCATCCCTACACCCCGAGGGCGGATTTGGGCATGTATGCCGACATCCGGTTCTCACATATGCATTGTTATCTGCACCCTGTTCCTCCTCATGTTCTCGTTGCTTTTGCTATCATTCGTGTGCGATCTGCTTCTGTCTTGTCTCATCATCCACGTATTTGGCTTGCTGATGTTTGCCCAGGCGAAGGGGGGAACCGCAGTATGACGATTGTGATTGTCGATGAGGAGCACGGGAGTGATCAGAAGACTCAGGCGGCAAATGATCAGGTGGAGCATGCTGATGATGGTGATTATGATGCTGGTGCTGGTTTGGCAAAGACGGGCATACGAACAGATTCGAACATCTATGCCTCAACCCGTCCCTCACATATGTCTGGTGTCTCTGCATCTTGCTCCTCGTGATTATGTCCCCTTACGCTTTATCGGTCTGTTGGTTTCTGTTTCACACCACCCTCATCACAAGCTTCTGGGGTCCTGTCGAGGTCAATCCAAGCAAGCATGCGTCGCATTTTGGTGATGGGGATTGTGCCCGTGAGGCGTAGAGGTGTGATGAGGAGCAGCAGGCGGACGATGGCTGGGCGGAGCACGGTGATGATACTGAATATGATGATGATGCCGATGACGCTGAGAGGGGAGCATGTGGATGAGCCTGATGATTGTGTTGATGGTGTTTATGACCATCATGAGTTGACCACGTGGAAGATGATAACGATCATCAAATGGCGTTCAGACCATCCTTCCACCGTGCCTGGGTTGTGGGTGCGAAGCCTATTGGATGCTCGTTGGGATGTCGTTGAAATCCTCTCGGGGCCTGTTGGAGGCAGTTTGGAGGCCTCTTGGGGGCCGTCGTGGGGCATTTTGGTGCCTCCTGTGGGCCCCTTGGAGGGCCAATTGGGGCCTCTTGGGGGCCTCTTGGGGGCCTCTTGGGGCCTCTGGGGGCCTCGTGTCGCGGCAGGATCAGATGTTCGATTCGTGTTCCCTTTCGTGGGCCTCTTTTGGGGCCGTCTTGGGGCCCTCTTGGTCCGTCTTGGGCGCCTCTTAGGCCGTCTTGGGGCGCTCTTGGGCCCTAGGCGAGAATGCTCAAATCCTTCAATCACCTGAGGACAATCCATGATGTTTGCCTCTTGGGCCCCTTTGGGAGGCCGCTTGGAATCTTCTTGGGGCGTCTTGGAGGCCATCGTGGGCGTTTTGGAACGATCTTTCAGTGACTCGGGACTTTCTTAGACCGTCTTGGGAGCTCGGCTTCCGCAGCGGGTGCAGCACGCAGGGCGCCATCTGCATTCTGCGACGGCGTATTGAACAAGAGTCGGCACTTCAGCACAGCAATGGGTATTTCTTCGCCCTGGATTGGAAACAGGAGTTCGATCCTGTGAGCACGGAGGCAATGCTAGTTGTTCTGGAACGGTTTGGACTTCCCAGTGACATCCCGCGCGTCGCTGGGGAAATCTACAATGGGCGCGCATTCCAGTTCGGAGAGGCTGAGCACTTGTCAGCGGAGCGAGCGCAGCGATCCGGGATCTCCCAGGGTTGCCCGCTGTCGGCCCTCCTGTTCGTCGTGGTCATGACCGTCATCATGAGAGACGCGGCGGGTGCGCTCGGACAGCAACTCGCGGAACGCGTTGTACAGTTGGTCTACGCCGACAACACTATTGATTGCGCGACGTGCAGACGATATGCAGGCGTGTTCGCGCGTGGTGCATGAAACGGCCAGCTTGGTGGGTTTGGAATTGCATTGGGGGGAAGTTCAGTTGATGCGCGTTCGGTGTTGCGGATATGTCCACACTCTTATCGGAGAGGCCACCAAATCTCCTTACCCAGCATCACCATCAGCAGCGACGGTAGGTTGACCAGCGGATTGGCGTGGCATTTGCAGAGTTCTCCAGGCGCAAGAAAGTCTGGGGGCACACGACCATCGGAGAACAACAGAAGATCGACCTGTTCAAAGCCATCATAACACCCAAACTCCTCTATAGCCAAAGCACGGCATGTTTGAACGCGGCAGAAAGGCGTCGTCAGGACAAAGCACATTGCCGAATTTTCCGAGCCCTCTGCGGGGTCAAGCACCCCGTGTTTTCGCGCGCGTCGAACGCGGGCATCCGAGCCGGGAGGCGACAAAAGCCTTCGACAAAAACCCTTTTCAAGCAGCAGCTTCTTCTGTTTGGAAAAGCAGCGATCGCAGAGCTTGGAGATCCACTGCGAGAATCCATTTTCGTCCCCGACGCTCTGGAAGTCTTCGTGGGCTCTTCGCGGACCACTCTTCGCGCTCAGGAAGGCTGGGCGACCCAGGCTGGAATAGGCTAGGCTTTTATTGCCGCATGTGCGGCGGCTGTCTGGCGAACATCTGCGGTGGGAAGACCTTGTGCAAAACGAATGTGCTTGGAGGGCCCCGCGGGCGTTTGGCCCTCTGTCTGCTTGTCTGTGATTGACAGGTGTGTGTTGCAATCGCCCGCCGCCTGCTGGCTCAAATGCGTGCTCTTCTGCATCATTGCGTCGACTGCTTCGTGCTCCCATGCTCCAGGGGCGTAGGTCAGGAGGGGCAACAACCACATGGACACAACGAATCGTCCACTCCCAGGAAAATGTGGTAAACTATTGGACGTGGGTTGGAAGACGAAAACCTATAACATTTATGAAAATATGGGAGATCCTTGGATTTGTGTGTCCACGGGCCCCTTTTATATGTGTTGAAGTGTCGCGGAGACGGCCGAGCAAGCTAGGTGCGAGGATGATGAAACATTGGATGATGGTGATGGCGACCACGATTCATTGTGATGCGGGTGTCGGCGATGAAGAGGATGATGAGCGAGGAGCGATCGGTGAGGAATGATCAAAACGACGATGGTGATGCAACTGAGCAGGACGATGCTGAAGTTCTGGTGCTGATTGGCGTGATGGATGATGGATGGTGGAAGATGGGTGATTGGTGATGGGTGATAATGGTGGTGATGATGCTAATGACGAGGAGGAGGATGAGCACGAGGAGGAAGAGGACGACGTAAAGATGGGGCTGCTGATGAAGACGACGACGATGATGGTGATGATGTTGATGACGATGGTGATGAGGATGATCATGGTGCTGATGATGATGCTGGTGCGATGATAATGGTGGTGGTGATGATGCTGCTGCCGATGATGATGGTGAGGGTGGTGGTGGTGAGGAGGAGGAGGAGGAGGAGGCGCAGGAAGAAGACGTGCGTGAGTTTCTTGCCTGCTATCCTGGTTTCTTCTAGCCCCTTCCAGGTCCGTCCATCTCCGCGCGTCCGTCCCAGTCATTTGCCTGGCTCCTGGCGCCCCTTTGGCAACACGGGTCGGGGCAAGGGGGCACACGGGGAAGAGGAGGAGAGACGACCGGACCAGGAAGAGGCGGATGGAAGGATGGGGAGATAGCGACGAGGTGATTGAGGAAGGAGGAGGGGAGGAGGAGGAAGAGATAAGATGGAGACGATGGGATGGATGTAGATAGAAGGAAGAGGTGATGAAGACGAGGTGATGGATGGGGATGGATGGTCGAGGGTGTGGAGACAAAATGGGTGGACTGGATGGAAAAAAGAGGGCGAAATTGAAGGGAGGCGGAGAAGATGTATAGTCGAAGGAATGGGTGGTGATGAGGGGATTGTGGCGTGGAGGAGGGGAGCTTCTCGGAGAGTGCTGGTCGAATGCAAGGGTCAGGTAAGGGGAAGAGGTTAACAGGGGAGGAATGAAGGGCGGAGGAATAGAGCAGGAGAGAGGGGAGTGTCGAGGAACAGATCACTACACAATGATCTTTCGGAAGTCCGCGTGAATCTCTTGGATCGGCGCTGGGCCCCCACCCTGGTGGAACCTCCGACGCCTCCCATTGGCGCGCCCTGCGCGCCAGGAGAGGGGGGTCCAAGGCCGACCCAAGAAACCCGCGCGGATCTCCGCAGGTTCATGCGTACGCAGTCTGTTGTTCTTCCGGGAAGGGCGGAGGAGCATGGCGGGGGGAGGGGGCATGTGCCGGTCGGGGAGGGGGAACGTGCCCGTGACGTCTGCCTCTTCAGCCCACGCTGCTCAGCGAGCAGCGCCGGATGCACAGCACGATCGCGGAGTTCCCAAACCAGGCCCCCGCCCTGCCCCAAGTTCTGGCCGTCGGGGCAGCAGGAGGAGGAGGAGGGGGAGGAGGAGGAGGAGGAGGAGGAGGAGGAGGGAGGAGGAGGAGGGAGGAGGAGGAGGAAGAGGAGGAGGAGGAGGAGGAGGAGGAGGAGGAGGAGGAGGAGGAGGAGGAGGAGGAGGAGGAGGAAGAGGGGCAGCCAGGGCTGCAGGGATGCTGGTGAGGAGAGGAGAGCCAAGAGGAGCAGAGCACGGTCGCCGCCCGCAGCAAGGATGAGGCGTGCTCCAAATGTGCCCTTTGCTCCAGAAACTTTGGGGCATCTTGGGACATCCTGAACCGCCTCGAGGAAAAAACACGCACGCACAAAAACCAAACAATGCACGGGGACTAGACGTCCGAGCGATGCCAAGCGTAGTGGAAGGCCCAGAGCGAACGTTTACGCTCTTTGGCCAGGCGCTCCAGGGAGGGCCTCGCCTTCTATAGACCGCGTCCCTTGCGGAATCGTGCGGAAGGCCCGCGGAAGGCAAGCGGAAGTAGAGTGGCGGCGGGTCCGCAGGTGGAAGCTCGGCGGAAGTCCAGCGGGAGGCGGCGGAAGCGCTGATACGCTAGCACTTTTGGGCTCAGGGTCTCGGAGTCGGCCGGGAGGGGGCCTCGGTGTCGAGCCCAGATCGCCCCGCGTCTTGAGAAGGCCGCGACAGAAGGTTTTCGATCCTTTTCCGCCGAAGCGGCTCAGCATGGGAAATCGGTCTGGGAGGCGTTCGAGAGGCCGTCCGCGGCGTCTTTGGAACGACGACGCGCAGCTCTGACAGCTTCTTCTTTTTTCCTATTTGTTCCGCACTGTTTATGTCAATCCCCGAGCCCTGCACAGGGCCGGCTTATTCGACCGGGCGTAGCGTAGCGTAGCGTAGCGTAGCGTAGCGGGAGGGGTTGGCAAAAGGGGCTCGCCGTCGTCGGCGGGCGCGGGCGCAGGGCCGGCGGAGGCTTAAGGAACGTAGGACGGCGGTGGGTCCGCGGGCGGAAGCGGAAGCGGAATGCTGTATCGGAACGGCGGCGGGAGTAGAAGCAAGGCGAGCAGAAGCAAGGCGGGAGGGGGAGGAGAGCGAGGGAGAGGAGGAAGAGGGGGATGCAGAGGAGGAGGGCGACAGGCAAGGAGGGAGGTTGATGAGGGCGAGGGAGTGGAGGAGGCGAGAGGGCGAGGAGGGCGAGGGAGAGGAGGGGGTGGCGGGGGCGGGAGGGGGGGGTCGGCCCCGGGTGGCGTGTTCTTCAAAGCAGAGCGCTTATTTCACGATGTCGTGAGCCATGTCCCTGCGGCCTTGGCATTCCAGTTCACAAGTCAGCCGGGCTCGGCCACGCGCAGAGGGGGGATGCGGGGAAGGCGAGGAGGTGAGGGGGGAGAGGAACAAGTAGAGGAAACGAGAGGAGGAGGAGGAGGAGGAGGAAGGAGAAACGAAAGGGGGAGGAGACGAGCTGAATAAGGAGGGGCGTGGGGAAGGGGACGACAAGTCAGACGCAGTAGCAGCCTCCTCCAAAGAAGCACTCGGTTTGGAGGGGTCGCCGGGGTCGACGGTCGGGCCCTCGCGGCCAGGCGATGGGCGAAGGGCGGGGGCGGGCTTGCGACAGCGAGGGGTCTTCGGGTCGGTGGATCTGGGCTCGCTGCGCTGCTCTGGCGGCCCGTCACTTCCAGGCTGCCTCAAGATCCGAGGAGGAAGAAAGGTACCGACACCCCTGCCCTTCCCTCGTTTTCCCGTGTTTGGGCCTCGCGGGAGGCCTTCGTCGCCGCCGCTGGGTTCGCCTCGAAACTCTGGTCCAAGCGCAATCCAGGAGAGGTCCAGGGACTCGCACTGTCGGTGCCGCTTGGTTCCCCCCCAAGAGAGGCGGACACGTTTGCATTCCTGCAGCGGTGTCGCGGTCGAGGGGTCCAGGCCGCGAGGCCGTGAATTTGGACATGTCGGCCGCCTGCGACCGCTGGCGAGAGTGTCCAGCGTGGCCCGGACACGCTCCAGCCCAACAGCGCTGCTCTTGATGAGCGCGGGCCCGGATCCCTCGCGAAACATCGCGGGGTCGAGGCCCGCAGCCGCTTGACTCAAGCTGTTTTCGGCTCGGGCTCCTGGCCGTGTGCGTGCTGGGCCGCGGTAGTCCGTGCAGCGTCGCGTCGCGCCGCGCACCTGCACGGATGGGGGTTGTCGCCGTGAGGCGAGGGCCCTTCTTGCAGGCGGACGTGGAGGCCAGACATTGTTGGGCGGCCCTGCGGCCGCGGCCACCGCGGGCCTCTCGGCGTGGGCGTCCTCGCCGTGCTGGTGCTGGCTCTTGGGCTGGTGTCTGCCTGGGTGGCCGGCCGCGCGGCCCGCGCGGCAGCGCTCGCCCAGCGCCGAGCTCGTGGGCGTCGTGAAATGGACGAGGCCGGCGAGGTTCGCTGCAGACTGGACGAGGAGAGCGAGACGAACGCGGTCGGCTTTGTCTGTGGCCTTGGCTCCTTCTGCTGCAGAGACGCTTGCTCGGACGAGATCGGCAAGTGCTGCGCGGGCGTGGATCGCCATTTTCTCCCTTGCGGGCCCCTCCCTCCTGCTGCGGCGACGTCTGTTTGGGCCACGCCGGCGCCTGCTGCGAGAGCGACCTGGGGGGAAATTCCTGCGCGGGGCGGGCAGCCCGTGTTGCGGCAACACGTGTGCGCCAGCCAAGATCAAGTGCTGCACCAATTCCCACGGCACCAAACATGCCGTCTCGCACGGGTCGCCCTGCATCAACCCTCCAGAGTTGAGCCGACAAATCCAATATGATAATATAATCGTGACCATGCCCCCTACTCTGTTTGCGGCCGTGTTTGCTGGCCGTGGCTCTCGCGTGGATCAGAGGTACAATCATGTGTAGATCGTCGCACCATGCCATTCTAGTTGCGTGGGTACAACAATTGTATTGCTCTGTTCTGTAAATTTTTGAATAGTTGTCAATTCCACGTCCTGTTCGTCATTTCCCTTGTCCTTCCCCAAATCCGTTTCTTTCACCCCGATCCCGTCCGCATTCTCTCATTCATCTTTCTCATCCCTTCGCTTTGTTCCCAAAAAGTGTTTGCGCGTATGGATTCTTACTTCGATCGATAAGGCATTGGACGGGAGATCGGGGTTTCGCCTGATGGGCGCCTGTGGGCGCTTCGTTGGCGCGTCGTGCGTTGGTTGGGTGTGGGGGGGGGTCCGCCTGGTGGGCGCCCGCGGGTGCTTCGTGGGCGCCTCTTGCGCTGGGCGGGTACGGGGGAGGGTTCGTTGGGTGGGGTCCCGTGGTTGCCTGGTGGGCTCCTCGTGCGCACGATGGGTACGGAGAGTGTTCGCCTGGGTGCGCGCGAGGGCGCCTTGAGGGCGCCCTCGGAGCCCCTGACTGGTTCCCAAGAGGGGCCCAGAATTGGCCTCACCGATATATACCAAGAGCCATTGGCATGATATCGATGGGGGCCCTTTTGGGTCTTTCAGTGGCTCTCTTCTGACTTCAGCAACGGCTCAGGGGCCCCGAGAGAGCCCCCAAAGGGGCAACAAGTGGTTCGTAAGGGGGGACCCAAATGGCCCCTAACAAAACCAACGATTTCAATCTGCCCCCGGTAAGATCTCGTTTGGGGCCCTTGGCCTTCTTGGAGCCTTCCTCCAGCACCGAACACGACCTGAGGGGGACTTCAGACAGCCCCAGGAGAGTTCCAATAATGGTTCCAGAGCGCCTCCCCCCGACACTGGCATCCAGAGGGCCTTTTTTGATGCCGCTCTCGGGGGGCCCTTCCTTGGGGAGGTACGTGGAAGGGTGGCTCTGGTTGCGCCTGTCATGCGCCAGCCTCTCACGTAGAGTTATCATCTCGCCGTTCGGGGCCTGCACTTTCTTGCCGTCGATCTCAGAAAGTGTGAAATATCTAGTTGTAGACGGCGGCCCGCTTCTTCTGCACATGCTTTTCGGAATCGCACGCCCCCGAGCTCCCGCGCTTCGCGGGCGTCCCGGCAACCGCGAATATCTGGCAGGTGGCTGGGCGACCGGTCGATCTGGCTTAGCACGATACTTGATTGCGCACCTGCAAGCTCAAGCCAGAAGGGCGACGGTCAGAGAGACATCTCCTCAGAAAACTTCAAGAAGAACTCGCCGGGAAACACGTGAAACACATATGGGCAAATGCATAAGAAGCACATCCGGAAAACGTGTCGGAGCAAGTCAGGAAACAGCGTCGGGGGAAAACAAACATCCAATCAGAAAGTGCCTGGGAACAGCATTGCCAGGAACGCGTGGGACACATTCACCAGCATCATACCTTCTTCCATCATAAGCCACGATGTTTTTTTTCTTCTCTGGGCGGCGTGCCCGGCGAGCAGCGCCGGAGCTGTCTGGGGCCCTTCCGGTCCGTCTGCGGGGCCAGAGCCGGGAAGCCGCAGGAAGGCCCAAATGGGCCATGACACGGCTCCCGCGGCAGCCCCAGGAGGGCCCCTCCGACAGTGGCATCCATGAGGGCCCTCCTGATTCCACTGGCGAGTGGCCTTTCCTGGGACGCTCTCGGACCCTTCTTGGAGCTGTCTCGGGGCTGTCTGCGGCCCTCCCAGGCCGCGTTCGGGGCGAGAGGAGGGCCCCAAGAAGGCCCCAAGGGGGTTCCAAGAGGGCTCCCAAGAGGGCCACCGACGTTATCATACCAAGGGCTCTTGGTATGAGATCGTTGGGTGCCCTTCTGGGCCACTCTTGGGCCCCTCTTGGGAACTCGCTTGGGCAACTTGGAGCTCTCTTGGGGCTGTCTAAGGTCCTCCCGAGCCGTCATTGGGGCCATTGGGGCCAGAGGAGGTTGCAAGTAGGCTCCGAAAGTGTTCCCAAGAGGGACCCTAACGATACCATACTGATGGCTCGTGGCGTGATGCAGTTTGGGGCCCTTTCGGGCAATTTGTTCCGCCATTCTTGGAGCTCTCTTGGGATGTTTTGGGCTCTGCAATGCCGTCTTTGGGCCCAGAGGAAGGCCTGGGCCACGCTTGCTACGTATTGCTAGCTATGCGGCAAGACCTG